GAAGGCCATCCAGTTACTTTAGCCGGGCCGGCTCAGATGATTGGTCGTGTTTTTTACAGTACCACGGCTTCCATGACATTTTTTTATGGATTTTTTGTCAAAGCACTTCAGATATTCATTGCTATCGGGATGTTAAGAGCATTCCATGGAATATAACAAAAAGTGTATCTCGAGCCAGTTTCTCAAACTTACATACCCCACCTATAAACTGAATATGTAAACAAAATAAAAGAAGCATTTTGANNNNGGAAGGCTGACAGGCAGGTAGGCCATCCAGTTATTTTAGCCAGGCCGGCTAAAATGATTGGTCGTGCTTTTTACAGTACTACGGCTTCCATAGATGACATGTTTTTACGTTTTTTTTGTCAAAGCACTTGAGATATTCATTGCTATCGGGATGTTAAGAGCATTCCATGGAATATAACAAAAAGTGTATCTCGAGCCGGTTTCTCAAACTTACATACCCCACCTTTAAGAAAATAGTTTTAAATGTTGTTTCGTCCTGTCTTCAGAAAAGTATGGAGTCATCCCAAAGAAGTCCTTTCCCGAGTCTCACAGCTCCGAGGCTTCACGCAGAATGAATGACATCCTTAACCATAAGGTGCGTTTACACACTTCCTTCAGTTCAAACTAATCACGATCAATCTGTGAGAATGTGCTGACTGTTGTTTTGTGTCCCTGTGTGTTCCAGCTGAGGGAATACAGCCTAAGACTGAGGAACATGGTGACCAGTGACGCTACTAAAGCTGAGATCTCTGACGCCTTGGACACCATGATTGAAGAGGTGAGACTGAGTGAGAGTGCCCGTAGAATATATTATAGTGCCTTTACACTCCAGGGAACCATTAGCATGTTTTAAAGGAACTCTGTTCCATAGCCTGTGTCTGTCTGGAGGAGCTAAGGACTAAATGTAGTTCCTCTAGAATAGTTTTAGGCTAGGGTTGGGACTTTACGAGATTACCGTCTCAGAAAATATCACGATATACGGCGATACACTATAGAAAAGGGGTGTCAAACTCAAGGCCCGTGGGCCAAATCCGGCCCCCAACTTCCTTTTATTTGGCCCGCAAGAGCTTGCAAAAAATATAATACGTTTATTATACGGTTTCATGCCACTTTACAGAAGCACGATGTCCATAAACTACATGTCCCACAATGCATCTCATTTTGTGACATGCGCACTGAAGAGACTTGCAATTATTTGAAATGATTTGCCCTAGACTTCTGCTCTCAGACGTAGTTAATCATGAAGTTATTACCCTATCCGATAATAATCCAATGCCGTGGCAATAATGTAATATAATACATTTATATATATATATATATATGTGTGTGTATATATGTATATGTATGTATATTGATATAGTCTTAAAGTTACAACCCGCCCTTTGAGTGCAACCTTAATGCTGATGTGGCCCGGGATGAAGTTGAGTTTGACACCCTATAGAGCTATTCGTATTACTGTGATTATGAATATATATTTTTTTATTTATATAATTGTTATCATTATCATCAGTTGCAATGCCCCTCAAAGGAATGAGAACAGAATCATAATAATACACTGAATATAAACATCTGATTTTAAAAGAGAAAAATAACAAACGTTCTGTAACACTTTCCTATTTCTACCAGAAGAGGGCGCTGTCCATTAAGACATAACTGAGCACGTTAAAAGTGATACCTGAAATGAGCTGAATGTAATCAGGGTTCGAGTTCATCCTGGTGTAGGGTTGACAGATTCAAGTTAAAACTGTTAATACATTATATGAGCTGCAACATATAGTAACCTAGTGATGCTTTGGTCAATATGATGTCTTTACCCCCTAAAATTAGGTGGGGTACAGTTTTCTTTATAAATAAGAAGCTTTAACAATCGCTTATTTAAATAGAGTAATTTTTTATTACCCATATCATTCATGTTTAATATCAGACTGCTTAATTAATTGAGAAACAAGTGGAAAGACATTCCAGCAACTTGTCAGATCTGATGCAGCACTTCAGTAATACAGTGTTTTCTTGTATTCAGATTAATTTCACAAGAACAAAACATTTGTCGCCATTCAGGTCCGTTAATTGTCTTGCTTCCAAGGCCTTCAAAAATCATTCTGTTTCCCCTTAAGAGAACTTGCAAAATATGTGACTGTGTCTGCAGTGTAGTATGACTTAATAGTCTTAATGCAAATGTGTGTGTGTGTGTGTGTGTCATATCAGGACCATGCAACAATTAAAAGTAAAGAAGTCACCTGCACACCGCCCCTAATGTGGCAGGTTGAAGATAGCGATCTTGTTTATGGAACAGTCTAACACAGAGCATCTGACGCTGGACAGCAAAGATAAAATTCACATCCTAAATATTAATGCACGTGCACAAAGTATTTCACACCACGGCAACGTAACATGTTTGATGTATGTCCATGCGTGCGGGGAAATGTGCCTACAGTGTGTTTTTGTGGCTGGGACAGGTTACAGTGTGTAGGTGTGTGTGTGCATTAAAGGCATTATTTACGCTTCCTGTGTATGTGTGTCTGAGTGACTGTATGAGCGGCCAGTCAGTCAATCAGCCTCCCATTGAGTGGGTCGCACACACAACGCTGCTCTGGGGATGCAGCCTTTGTTGTCAGCTGTTTGAGTGCATTGTGCTTCTGGCTGGTTGCTTGTTTAAACAGTCGCCTGTATCTCACTGCGCCACCACACACACACACTAACACACATATGTTATGCAACAGTTAAGACTGCTCCCACCACACTGCACGACAGGGTGGGGGTGGCGGAGGGTCGTCGGTGTGTTTGTTTGTCCACCTGGAAGCGGTTTGTTTTGCGAAACACCGCTCTGTCACGGCCGCTGCTGATGGACGAGTCGGTGCTGTAAAAAGAACGAGCCAGATCTAAAACCATTATTCAGTATTGGACCTCCATATCAGTACAACAAGTTACATTTGACATCCATCAAATACCATTATTTAAAAATAATCCATATTTAACCTTGCCATGCTTTTGATGTACTGTAGAGCTTCCAAGTAGTTACCGTGCTATAGATAGGGAGAGCATGTTTTGAATTGTATTTTCAAAAGCACATTCAAGTGTCAATGTTCAGCTGCGAGGAGCATCACAGTTGCATATTGGTTAGGTAATCATTTAATTAGTCAAATTGTCCTGATCACAGGTTCTAAAACGCAAGGATTTGCATTAATTTCATTGGAAACAAATATCTTTGACAATTTGTCAGATAAAATAATCAATTGTAAGCTCATTTCTTCTTTTATAACTACATAACAATTTAATTAATACGACAAATAACGAATAACATCATTGATAAAAATAAACGGATACAAATATACCATAATAGTATAAAGAAATGGCAAAGTCAGTTTAAAAACTGTTCCATAACCCCTTCTTCTGCTTCTAGCAAGTGACTGACATATTATTTTGTGCAAATATGTTTGTTGACACCCTGTGAGTGTGTTTGTGTGTGTGTATGTGCACATATGTTTCTCGGGATCAGAGTGGCATGTCAGTTTTGCTTTGAGGTGATGCTGTCCACCCCCCGTACGTAGCGGCTGTGAGGGTGCACTGGTCTTCATCACGCCAGCCCCTCACACACTCCCATGACAGGCAACCAGGTTCAGCGTCTCTGCTTCCACTTACTGTACCCAGGGTGCGCTTGATTTAAATGGATCCCCTTGCGTGTAAAGAATCTATTCGCTTTGTTAACATCGGTCAGGCTCATTGCACATCACATCTACCTAGAAACCTCTACAATAGCGGCTTGAGCCTTTTTTAAAGCTGCACGTACACTCGGCTAGCAAGCTAATCTCATGCACCGTTTGTCTTTATAGTTACGATTACAGTATCCGTACGCTGCACTATTGAGGCAGAGGAGGATAAGTTTCAAAGGCAGTCTTTTTCTTTGAGGCTGTATCTGGTGAGTGTCCCTGCTCCTCTACTCTCACTTACATCGACAAGTAGGCACACAAACGAAGGGCCACTCGCTGGTAACTGTACGTGCACGTGTAGTTAGCAGTGCACACACAGATGGTATCCCTCACACCACAACTGTAGCCCCTTCCATGCTCCATTGCGTCATGGAATCAGAAACACCGTGTGCGGCTCTGTTTTTGGCTCTGAGCGCACGGAGAGTGATTCTCAAGACAAGTCTAATTTATGAGGCGGCCATCAGATCACAGAGGAACCTTCTTGCCGCAGTTAAAGAGGGTCGCCGCCGCCGGCTATTGACTCGGGTTGATTTGTTGTTCGATGTGGGTGGGTTGCTGCAGATTTGTCATTGTTAGGGGCAGAGTCATCCACTCCACGCATTTTTTTTGCACCAATTGTTAGAATACAACGCCGACACATGTTTAAAAAACAGGAAAGTTTAATCAAAACCTCGCTCATTTTTATCCAAACTGTTTGCATGGTGTCATTTGTTTACACTGACAAGTCCAGCTTCTTGACAATAGTTATAGATTGACCTCAGTGTAGCAATGAGGCGCATGTTTTGGCATTGGCAGGTTGAGTTCCTGCTTCAGACCCTACAGTATGTCTGAAATCATTTTTGCTAAAAGCATAACAAATCTTAATTTGTTATCACATTCGTATGCCGAATGCACAAAATACAAGAGGCATTAATTCTACCTGAAAAATATTTTAAAAACATTATCTGGCATTTAATTCCTGCAGTAGCTCTTAATACCATTTTTTTTTTTTTTAAAGATATTCTGTCAGAAACGGGTGAACATATTACTGCACTGAACATAGAACAATTTCCGTTACACACAAAATGACAAAAGCCGACTAATTTGCTCTTTAAGATATTTTTTGTTAAACTAAATAGTGCAAGCTTACATCACCTAAACAGTTTCCTGCACATCTTATAGTAATTGGGGCATTCCAGCAGGTGCATCTGTTTTTAAAAGGCATTTATTGCAACATACTAATTAAATCATGTTTATGCCTCAATAACTAAAATCGCTCCATATGGAGTTTCTCTCCCAAAAACTCCCCCCCTCGCCTGAAAGGCCTCCATTGGACTCCTTTGTTAATTGCCGTAACATAATGACATCACAATGAAAAACCCCACTTCTATTGGCTAGCGCTCCAACATCTTGTACATGATGGGCGAAGGGACAGAACATCTATAAGCAGGTGACCAATCACAACAGAGCTGGCCAGCTAACCAATCACAGCAGACTGGGCCCTGGTTTCAGACAGAGGGTGAAAAGAGGTGCTGCAGCACAGGCAGTATGAGAAAAATAAAGAGCTTTTTGAACATTAAAGCATGTAAACATGTCTCAGTAGAGACACAAGATTCACATGTACATCTGAAAATTAGCATAGTAGGCCCCTTTAACTGTAACCGGAGTGTCTCGCTCAAGGTTGTGTTATAGACTCACTCCTTACTTCAGGTGATTTGTTTGTTTGGGTGACATAAAACAAATAAACAGGCAGAGATATCCCAGCCGGACAACACTGGAGCGCAGATGCTATCGAAGATTAGCTGCGGTTAGCCACAATAGCGTGCATACAGTCAGCTTATTGTTTATAGCAAGACACGCAAACTCGATACGAGAATGACCTGAGGAGGACCTTCTGCTAGAGACTGATGAGCAGAAGAGAAAGCTGCCTGTTAGCTAACTCTTATAACAGCTGGTTCCTCAAACCTGTTAGCAATTAGTATTGTGTTAATGTTTAGAATATTAAGAAATGAATGAGATGGTCTTTTGAAGTTACAGTCCAAACATGAGTGGAGTTTAGGATCAACGCCCCGTTGCCGTAATGAAGAACTAATGAAGTGTATCCTGAGGGCCTGGACTCCAATCATTCGTGAATTCCATGTTGAAAACACAAACATTGATACATCTGTAAACTGACAGTATGATCAGATTTATCAGTTTATTTTTGAACACTCACTCTGCCTGAAAGGACAAAGTGTGTGGTTTGTGAATCAAATTTTAAGGAACAATATCATGTTATCAATTTTATGTGTGAGTGAGATACATATACATACTTAACGCTCAACACATTTCAGACACTTTGAACACTGCTGTGAGGATGCACTTTTAGCAAAATATTTTATTATTTTGCGTCACTATTCGTTGCAGCTCTCAGTCTCCCTCCCTTTTCTCTGTGTACTCTCTCTAATATATATCTGTCAGGTAAATATTGATCCTGCTCGAATGTCTCTGTTGCTGTTTATTCTGCGACCGAGGTCTCTCTTTCAGCTTTTCCCTCGCACCTACTTTATTTACCTTGCCGGGGCTGGATGAGTGGGCGCACAGCTGATCCAGCATTCAGAGAGATGGTTACAGTACGTCTCAGTCAAATCAAGTCAAACTCTCTTTATAATACTCCAAATCATAACAGAAGTTATCTCAACGTAAAACAATGAAACAACGTGTCGGGGTATCTGGACGACAAATTGTGAGTAGAAAGGGTCCAGGGAATATTGCTTTTAGATTTGGACAAAACAAGATGGTATGGCGAGAAAAAGGGCGGGTCAAGGGATGACCAAGATGTGTTTCAAGGTGCCGAGGGCATCTGGTCAAACACAGACCAGACAAGAGGACGGACACCTTGGCATGTCGTCTTGCCCACAGTCAGTCTAAACAAAGTAGTCGAACGAGGAGTCAAGCAGATGCCTTTGTTGACTCTGTGCATGTGTGTATTTTTGCGTGCGTCTGTACTTTTTGACATTTCTGTGATGACGAAGAGGGGGATTGTTTGTTTGCGTAAGCCAGGCCGGAATTTATGCATTTTTGTGTATTTGTCTGTGAGAGAGAATGGGCCTGGGTGGGGTGAGAGTAGTGGGCCTGGGTGGGGTGAGAGTAGTGGGCTCAGTGTTCACTAACCAGAGAGGAGGAATGTCATCTTTATGTAGGGGCATTACATATGTTGACTAAGCATGGGGAAACTGCTGCCATGGCTGCTGTATTTCTCCAGGCTAAGCCAAAAATAATCCCCTCGTCCGCTTTATATTCAGCTAGACAAGTTTAATTTATCTGGACATCAGCAGTAGAAGTTAATAAAAAAACAAAGTGTGTTCAAATTGATTGGAAATGTGACCTTTGTGACACACGTAGTCGAAGCACTGAGAGCGTGATGTATCACCATTCATCCGCACAATTGGAACAATACATAGTACACGCTGTTATCTACCACCAACAATGAACTGCTTCGCATCCTAATTTCTCTTCGGTGTTTTTAATCGTATTTGATAGGAAAAGCATGTGCCGGGTCTTGGGAGAGGAGAGCAGAGGATGGGAGAGGTGAAAAGCAAAAAGGGGAAATTCCTCAGATTACTATATCCGAGGTTAGAAGGGCCCGATAGACAGACGACCCAGTACAAACAACCCAATTTAGCCCACAGGAACTCTGTCTGAACTTCAGCACCGCAGGACGACACATGGAGGGGGGGGGGGAGAAAGACAGTAGAGAGGGAGGCACTGTATGGAGGAAAAAGACGAGAGAATGTAGGGAAATCTGAAAGAGGCCCAGGCATTGATTGATGGACGGACAGACAGAGGGTTGGGGGGGTTACATGAACACACTTTTAACATTTGGGCTGGGAGTTATATCTATAAACATCTCCAACAGCCTCCCTATAGGTAAGGAAAACAAAAAGTCCCTGTCCAGGTTTGCCCCGTGGTGGTTTTACTGCAGTAGTTTGGCAGGAGGTGCCTCTGGGTTTGTTGAAAGAGAGATACTTTTTGTTGCAAAGATTGACAGTCTGTGAATTTTGGACATCCCCTAAATTGTGTTTTTCTTACGTCCCCTAATAGTTTTGAATAATCTTGATACTGTATCTTTGCAAAGAGAGTCACCAGAGAGATGTGTTTGTATTCCTCTACTTGAGTGGGAGATCCCTACATTTGAGATTCAAACAATCCCCGGCAAACTAGGATTAAGTGTGACATACATTTCCAAACAGCCAACTGCTTTCTACTATGCAGACATATCCACAGGGAAATAGTCTTCATCACAACACTGCACTGACGAAGTACGTTGCATCCTCCAGCGCGCAGGATACTTCGCCACAGAGAGCCAGAGTTGCTTAGTGAACGTTTTGACAGCAAACATGGTACGGAGTGAAGTTTTCCGATATAAACCAGACCCTGGAGTTTCTTTCCACCATACCAAGAAATCCCCCTAGATATTATTGTAAGATTTGCTAACATGTGTCCGCCGCTGCCAGTTTCAAGCTCACCAGCTACTTAAACAAGTTAAATATGCTTGTTTGTCAAAAGCCTAGACTTATCCGGCTATCACGTAAAATGTGTTGAAGCGCTAACCAATAGAAGCGCAAGTGTTACATAGTGATGTCACTATGTTACAGCAGTAAACAAAGAAGTCAAATTGAGGCATTTCAGTCAGGGTAAAGGCCGCTACACACCAACCTGAGACCAAAGAACGCGTACCGAAGGAGTCCCGACTTTTACGTCCGCTACGCCGCCCGCCTACGAACACACCGCAAAGACTTCAGTCGACGAGTGGCAATAACTATCCTTACCAGCAGGCAGCGTGTATTCGTCATTCAAAAGAGGCAACAGCCAATCAGAGTGACTTCTTTGGCCGACTTTCTTTGGCCAACATGTTGAATCGGCCGTTGGAGGCCGCGGGAGGTGTGAAAATGTGCCGTAAAGCAACGACGGTGCGGGACACACCAACCTGAGTAGGGCGCCGCGAATGCCCGACTGCCTCTGACGGCCTCTGACTCCCAAAATCGGGTAGTGTCAGGGCCTTAAGAGTGTGTGGGAGAGAAACTCCCTCTAGAGGGACTTTGGGGATTTTACAATAGAAGCACAAGTGTTACATAATGATGTGAGCATTTTACGGCAGAGTCCTATCTGGAGGGAACTTTGGGATTTGAGCCTTGGCAGACCAATTACACGCACAAAAAGCTATATAACACACGACAGGAAAGGGAGGAGCTCGCGCCATAAGATCTTCATTGCCATTTCTACACTGTAGCCTATGTGCATATGACATTAAAACATTTGAATCTTGAATCTTTTGAATCTTGAAAACCCCTAACAGCGTTACAGGGCCCCTTTAATGTTCAAACTGTTTGCTGTGCAGGTGTTCCGGGTGGCCAGTGTGTGTTTAGGCAACCCTCCTGACACCATCTGCTGGGAGTACAGGGACAAGGACAAGAACTTCCACCGCATGGGACCCCTCACCCCCCAGGACTTCTACATAGAGCACGTCAAACCTCTATACAACATTCAGGACAAAGTATGTGACCCCTCCAACACCTCAGGTTGTGTTACTTGCTGTTTCTCGTATTGTTTCTGAGCTTGGATGTTAACTCTCTACCCTCAGATCTGCCTTGTGAACGACCCCCGACCCCAGAACCCCTACGGAAAGCTGTACACTGTGGATTTCCTCGGAAACATGGTCGGTGGCCGCAGCACTCAGTACAACAACCAGGCCATCCAGCTGCTCAAAAAGGCTGCGGCTGACTCCATCAAGGAGGGAGAGGTAGGTTTGGGAAAATAGACGTGACCGTAACCCCCACATTTCTACAATCAAGCGTCTGATCGTGTGAACTTCATAAATCTGGAAATGCTGTCTTTCTCTTAGGCGGTGTGGTTCGGTTGTGACGTCGGGAAACATTTCCACGGCAAGCTGGGTATTAACGACATGAATGTGTGAGTATAGTGCATCAGGTGGAAGTTATTTTCAATGCCATTTTATTCTAGTCTGCTGTGCATATGTCCCAGATATTAGAAGCAATATGTTTACAACATGGCTTCAAACATTTCTAGGAATGTACATTTGGGATTTGATGCTTGCAATAAACTAGTATTAACAATAACAGTGATGTTTACAAATATTTAACAAATTATATATTGATGTCATGGCAATATTATGCACATAATAATATTATTTAAGTAATTAATAACCTCTTTAATCCTTTTTATTTCTGTCCATTCTCGTCTCCCTCCACGTGATCCCATGACGCACACATTTGTATATTAATTGTTATTAACTTGCCAAAAAGGAGACAAAACACACGATAGTCAAAGATTTGACTTAAAATATTATTCTTAAATTATTATTTATGAATGTATCTATTTATTATCTCAATATATTGTGATAGTATTCTCATTGTGAATGCCTTTGGCCACGATAATCGTGTGTTTTCTGAGCAAGTAGTTGTAGTTTCAATTGGGAAAGTGACCCAAAAGAGAAATACAATATCCTAAATAGTGAATATTCAACGTTTGACAGGCTTATGTCAACGTGCATTCCCGAGGCGTTATTCTCTCCACAGCGGAGCAGTTGCTTATCTTTGCCCTTCACGTGTAGAAGCTTCTGTGTCTTCTGGGCGCCTGGGTTCATTTGGCCCGGCAAACTGAACCAGCATGGTGCCGAACGTCTGGAACAATCTCTGCTGAAGCTCATCCTTCACACAGATCTATTAATGAGCCATACATAGACTATAAATGGAAAGATGATGAGGCTTAATGCAGCTTCATTCCTACAGTCATGTCATTAGAGAGGAATAAAAAGCTGGAATACAAGATTTATTCATTTTCGTTGTTTTCATCAGGGGGAGTTTGTGTAATCACTTATGTTTTATGCATTTGTGCGCACAGGTTCAACCACGAGCTGGTGTTCGGTGTGTCGGTGAAGAACCTCTCTAAAGCGGAGCGGCTGATCTATGGAGACTCTCTCATGACCCACGCTATGATCCTCACTGCTGTCACAGACAAGGTACGCTTCATACCACCTCTGTACCATCCTTGAAAAACACAATTTCTTAAGTTTCGACCATTTTAAGTCTTTTAAAAGTATGTGGTTTTTTTATAAATGTTTACATGGACTGCCCCCCCCCCTCCCCCTCCCTTAGGGGAATTCATCCACAAAAAACACACTGGACGCTGCACTAGATCAGAAACCACTGTGAGGTCCACCGTAGATGGACAACTTTTGGACAAAATGTCCTCTCCATTAAAGGCAGCTCATTCTGGAATAGCCCCCCAACTGAGATACGGGATTGTCCCACTCTCAATAGCTTTAAAGGTCAACTCAAAGAATGGTTGAGAAACAAACAGACGTGCAATCACCGCTAAATGCACTTTAACACAGGGGTATCTCCCCTTGCACTCTAGGTAGCTCTTATATCTTCTCTTGCACTTGTTATGTCGTTGCTGCTGTATTGTACTGCCATGTCATAAATACTTGTGTATCTTGCTCTTTTGCACTTTTTGCATATCATGTATTTTTTTTTTTGCTATGTTTGTAAAATGTAAACTTCTTAAATGTTTTATGTGAGGGACTGCGGATGGGAATTAGCTCAAAGCTAAATCTGGCACTGTTACGCTTGGCACATTTGAATGTTTTAAGTGTTCATCACTGTGCATTGTCCCTGCCAAATAAACAATGAAATGAACACACACATACTGCACAGGTAGATGACTCTCCAGTGTGCAAACATAAGGACCGTATACAAGCAGTCGGACAGGAATATACACATTTAGCAGGGTTTATTGCATCAAAGCCGTGTTTACGCTGCTTTAATCGGCTGCAGTTTTTCAAAGTGATGTCAATTTCCCCCCTTGTAAGTAACCCCAGCTGTTAGCACACTTTCTTTCCTCACTTTTATCCACCCATCATCGTCTGCTCTCTTTCAGGATGGGAAAGAGGGCTTTGAGAAGTGGAGGGTGGAAAACTCCTGGGGCGACGATCGTGGAAACAAAGGTAAGTTCAGAGATACCATTATTACGCGATTCTTCTTTGGGTCCTTTCCAACCTGTATTGAATCACCATCAAAATGTATTTTGAACTGATAGCTGTCAACTCAAAAAGATAGTTGCTTTCATGTGGATCAGGTCCCATTATTGTATTCAAGCTTTTGCAACGACGTACTCCTCCCGCCTACCCATCACATCTTTCTCGCTGTGTCTCGTGATAAATCATCATCTTCCTGTTTGTGCCTATTGAATTATGAACAGGATTAGACTGAGAGGTTCCCATGTGTTGCTGCTTTATGAACTTGTAATTGGCTGTGTCCTGTTTCATAAAGACTCACAGACACACACACACAGGCTCTTAATATAGTTATTTAACCTCCTTGCCTATGGGTCAAGTTGCATAATATTATAAGGTCAGAACCAAACATAGTGATATTCCTCCAAATTCAATAGAAAATAGAAAGTTCATTTGTTTTGGCTTGGTGATCACATTGCTAGCTAAAATTGTAGCAGGAAAGCTAACCGAATCCATGTCATCATAAGACGTGAGATTTCTCCGTGTTTCAATGCACGTCTAGCTTCGTGGAAGACATAACACTTGTTTTGTTAACTGGAAACGTTTGAACCTGTTTTTTTAGTGGTCAGCTGACGGAGTTGTTTTTTGTTTGTTTTTCAACCGCAAAGTCAAAACGTTTTTTTTTTTTACAAACCAAGACAGTCTCGTGGAAAATGTTGTTGAGTTAGTAGGGAGGGTTTGTCTTTATGCAACAGGACCCAAAACACAGCAGGTAGACCGCATCACTGTCCCAGCCGTAACTGTCTACTGCTGTTATTCCCTCTCTCCTTTCATCTCTGTTTCCCATCTTCCTCTCACCCTCTCCTCTCCACCTCTGCGCTCCACATTCCTCTGCAAATTATAGGAGAGTATTTCAGGTCAGTCATGCATCGTCTGGCAACACACACATACAGCGATGCGTATACACACACAGAGGGACACACACTTACTCACAATATTTGCTTGAACCCACAAACCGTAGTGACTGTTGGGAAAACATGTGGAAACCCCTCAGTCAAATCAAATGTATTTCACGCATATCTTATTCCATAAACACCAGCAGATAGGCAGGGCCAGCGACCCCAGCCAAATTAATAACGTTTTTTTCAGAACAAAAGTTTGAGACGTGGAGTTCACATGGGAATCCGGGGGCTTGTTTGTTTGACAAAAGCTGAGGGGAAAAAGAAGTGAATGGAGAAAAGGAAGGAGAGCAGAAAACAGAGAGATGTAACAGAAATGAAATACTGCAGTTAGAAATGTCAAAGCCATGTAGATGATTTTGGAAAGGAGAAAATAGAATAAGAGTTGTAGGTAGGGTAAAGTAAAGGGTGTGTTTATAAGGTTTCTAAAGGCTTAACATTTCTCTTCAGGCCTTTTCATATGCCTCCTAACCCTCAGCTTCTCACGAAAGGTTTCCGTGTCTTCCTTGTTTATCCCCTTGCTAACTCCACAGCTCAAGGTTGTTGTTTCTTCCATTTCAAATGGCACTAGCAGGGATTCTGCAGGTTTTTTAAGTATTACATTAAATTGTCTAATATGTCAGCTTCAACAAAATTTTTTTGTCAAAATATATTTATTTTTCACTTTGTGTGACAACGGACTATTAATACATTAAAAACCCTGGTCACATCATGTATTTATTTCTGTTATGTTTCACTCTTGCATTGTTTAAACATGTCAATACAGTTGTGTACTTTCTAGGATTTCTTTAATATTTTTGCCAGCGCAACCGTAAAAAGCAAATGGGTATTAAACTGCATTCTATGTGGTATTAAAAAGTCTTACATTTAACCTGTTAAAACGTGCAGGTCATTCGGTGGATTTTTAACAGTTGTCACGGGTTTAGCTTGAGCTCCGAATGAGTTTGACGTGGAAAGAGAGAAGCTATGATTTTCCATGAACATGATTCTTCCATTGTTGAGTAAATACAAGAAGATGATGTTAATGTGGATGGAAGGATTTCCTTGGTAGCGGACATAACAAACTCTTATGAAGATAAGCTTCATTAACTTTTCAGTATTCTTCTTATCCATTGCCTTTTATTTTGCACCCAAACCACAGTTGCCTTTCTGTCACCTCTGCTCATTTGAAAGACTCGTATCACTTCCCATGAACTGAGAAACGCCTTTTTTGTAGTCTTACCACAACTCTCTGCGGGTATACTGTTCCCCACCGTTTCTTATTATCCAGCTCTATTCTTATATTTAGAAAAGACCACCCTCTCCTCAGTGCTGTCAAAATGATTTCACAGATACATCTTGTGTTGTATGGACACGGCCAACCTCTAGTCTAAATCAATATATCAAACTACAAGGGATGACCACAGTCTTTAAACGGTGTGTTTTGACCTTTGATTGACTTTATGTTCTATTCTCCATCCTTTCTATATTAATCTTTGCTTTTAGCCATGCTACGCTTTAAAGGATACCAATTAGTGTCAGTTGGTCTACATCCTGAATCAATTTATTATATTGGTTGGCATTTTAGAAAAACATTCATGTTGCCCATACAATATATCTTAATGCCTGATACTAATACTAATAATAATACATGTATTATTATTGTTAGCATTTAGCTCAAAGCACAGCTGTACCTGTATTCAGCCTAACAGAGAACCTAGCATGGCTGAAGACTCTTATGCTTCAGTTAAAATACTAAGACAAATGATGTCATATGTCTCTTATAAACATTTGCTTGACCTTGAGGGAAATGTCTTGAGGTCAGTGAAAGATGTGAAGAAGAAGTAAGGAGTTAGGAAAGATGATATGTGTACGATGACATACTCAAGGCTGTAGAAATCAAGTAGGGATTATTGTCCGAAATACAAACGCACCTCTCAGATTTCTCTGCGGTGTAAAATGACGCAACCACAGTGGATGTTATTTAATGGCCAAATTGTGCAAAATATAAATGTTGATGCTTCGAGGAATTGTGGTACGTCATCATGTCCTTTCCACCGATCCAGTTTACACTTTGCTAAAGGGAAAAAGAAAGTTGTAGTTTCACATAATCAGGAACATTTTCAAGCATTGAGCTGTTCAGCTAACTTCTTTAAACTCAAAGAGTAAGACATGTATTTTTCTATATGTCTAAATCACTGCTCGTTCGCTCACACCCAGATAACTGCTCCACACTTCTTTAGCTTACAGCACATATGTCTGTTCTGAGACAGGACAGTTAGCCTATCCCTAAAAACAAATAAGGACACCCAACCTTCACACACACCACCATGCCACCCAACACGCGGGTTCCAGTAAGCTCACATCCACACACACAAACACACACACAAGGATACCACAGTGAGAACCAGGCAACGTGCCATCTAAGATTTGCATACTTGGAAGAGCACATATACACAACACACCCAGACACGCCATCCCCAATACATTGTTTTGAACCGTGGCACGTTCTTGCGGTCGCCCTGACGTCTTCGATAAGTCAACTTGACAGTAGGAGGGATATCACGCTAGCTCAACTTTGAAAACATGACGAGGGGAAAAGTAAAGAGACTTAGAAAGTGGCATTAGAGAAACAGAATAACAAAATAACTTCACCATAATCACCCTAAAGTCTGGTTGCCAGTTCTCATCCAGCTTTCTATGTTCCTCGGTTCTGCACGAGATTTGATCCGGTCTGTTTTCACAACACTTTACGTTTTTGTTATCTGAGCAGAAGACACACACGTAGACATCTGTGATTTTAATTAATCATTTCAGCATGGGGCTACATCCTCCTCCAAAAATAGATTATGTTATCCCAACATGTCTTCTGTCAATGTAAGTCCAAGGTTGGAGTTCATAAGAACCCAGATTCAGCTAGGTTGACTTGATATGGCTGCACACACACACACACACACACACACACACGCACACACACACACACGCACACTGAGGGAGACGGACATTGTTTAGTTTTCTCAGGGTGGGTATGCAGAGGTGATAGCAGAAGTGTTGAAGGCATACTGCACTCTAGGGTGGGGGAGTTTGAACTGTGAGGGCCCTCCACCCTTTTTTCTGTCGAAACAATAGAGTTTAGCGATAAAGAGCAATTCAAATCAAATGTGCGTGCATTGACAAAGTTTGTTTCAGCGTTATGTTGAACTGTTTTTGCAGCAGTAACAACGATCAGCTTAATAAGTGGCATGATGTGATCTTTGTAAGGGTATTTCCTTAAAAATAATCGGGATAAGGATTTTCTTCAAACTGTTTTATAATATACTTAGTGGCTTAGGAAAGAGCTTTCTAAACTTGGTAGGAAAAAGATTTCTCTGGGAATAACTTTATTTGCTTTTATTGCAGAGGTGTTCAGATTGATATCGCTGACATCTCTAAGTTAAATATTTTCTTGGCCGATTTACTTTGCCTTTTCTCAAATCCTTTAAAGCAAACATTTGTTTAAAGACTGGACAGCTGTCAATTTTAGTAACATGCAAAGAATCTGAGATGAGGTTATCTTGCTGCATGGGACTATGTTCAAATTTGGAGGAGGGCCACTTGTCCTGCATTGTTTCAAACTTTCTAACAAAGAGAAAAATCATGATCTTGTTTATTCCGGCTGACAAGTTGAATCACCATGTTAATAATAATCTAAACACATGCAGTCCAAAACTTTGTTTGCTTTATCAAACTTATTAGTGATTCAGTCACAAACTGGTTAAAAGTTTTTGACGAGGAGGAAAGACACGCCAAGTCCTGATTTATGTTTATTTCACAAAACTAAACAGACAAGTCTATTTTCCAAAGTAAGCATTCTGTCAATCTCAGCAGCATCGGTTTGGTTAAAGTGTAAAAATGAAGGACAAATGTATGTGTTGGTGTGAAGTGTTGAACAGATGTTTATATTTTGTTATATTATTCCAATGTACCTGGTTAATATATATACAATCCACTTGGATTTATTTATGTCGATACATAGTAGTAGATCAAATAAGTCAAGTAGTAAATTGCGGTTCCCATCACCCATGTATTATATTAAGATGATAAAGCCAACTCATTTGTATCCATATAGTTTCACCTGAATTGGATTCATTTCCAAGTTGTGGTTTATTTTTCAGTTTTCCCAGTTCTACGCTTTACTCCCATCCTTTCAGGTCAAAAATAAATCTCATTGGCTGTGTTCCCTGTCTCTCTCTCTGCAGGTTACCTGATCATGACGGATGAGTGGTTCTCCGAGTATGTGTACGAGGTGGTGGTAGACAAGAAGTACCTCTCCACTGAAGTCCTGGATGTGATGCAACAGGAGCCAGTTGTACTTCCTGCCTGGGACCCAATGGGAGCCTTGGCATAATACAGAAATCCAGTTTCCAGCCACAAGCTCCGGTTGATTTGACTCCGCCCTATTCCTCGGCTGCTTTTACCTCTCCAATATTTCCCCCATACCTTCTTCCACGACAGCCTGTTCTTCTAGACAAAATAATAAAGATTTTGTTTTCTTTTTTTACTGGACTGCCTGTGTTTTGTCTTTTATTTCATTTACAATCCCACAACGTTTCTTATATTCGTGGATGCTAAACCATAAAGCACTGGATCTGGGCCTGAGCATTTTAAAAGGTGAAGTGGGTTTATTGCATCGTAAACACGTGTTTCAATTTGAGACAGGTCGGCTTCAATAACAAGAGGCAGATTTAAGTATAATTGCAATCTGAGCTGTGGACATATGGTAGGTTTGTACCGACAAATACATTAAAAGGCAGTCAACCCTGTTTTTTAATTGATACACCTGTGTGGTTCAGTGTTTTCAAATAGATTGAAAATCATTGTTTTGACTTATTCCTGTGTTCCTTTCACATCCTGGACATGGGGAAAAACAGAAGTGATTGACTGTTCTTGAAAAAACAGTATTTCTGCAAACACAATGTAAGCCAGGAAAGAAGGAGGGATATGCATGTGAACATTATGTGCAAATTCTTCTTATATGTAGATTGTTTTCATACCTTCTGCCTGTATCCTCCCTGATTGGATATCTAGGAATGTTAAAAGCAGGAAAAGGGTCATACTTCAATAATACTCGAATCCAAACACTTCCTGCACAGAAACTGAAATAATTTCTCAGTGACTTTGCAACTCTTCCTGCTTTAAAACATTCCTGTCAAGGTAAAAATGACCTCTGCCCTCTCAGCAGTTGGCCCTTCAGCTGAGTTATTTCTATTCACCCTCTGCAGCGTGTTGTTAAAAGCAAGAAGTACCCATTCAGCACCACAGGCTTAAAGTAGAAGGGGGACCAGCTTGCAGTGTGAATTGGGAAGATTTAGGTTGTAATCTACAGGTCGGACAGGCCTATTTTTTTAGGGGAGTTTCGATAACTGACAGGATTTTGTCATATACAGCTTTTCTGTAAATTCCCACCATACGAAATAGTCTAAGAATAATCCTAAAAAAACATGGAAACAGAGTTTAAACCCACCATAGGCTAATAAGTCCTATGTCCTCTTCTTCAACCCACATTATATCGCAACCTCTTCTGTGTTTACCCACTCTGAACTCAGGGTGCCTGGCACTAGCTTATCTTTCCCATTAGCTGAGCTGAAATAGCTCATTTTAACACTTTTGCTTTCTCCCAGTTTTCCCTTATCCATCCATCCCTTTCACATATCTACAAATTCATAACAGAATCTCTTGTGCTACTTTTCTCACAGGATTCAAAAAGGATCCTGTCGATTTGGAAATGTCTTCTTTAGTTTATAGTATGAGAATCATAGGGTGAAGCAGTTTTAAAAAATGTACTTGCTACGGAAGCTAGATAGATGGTGTTGTGAGATTTAAGTGTTCATTGATAGCTTTCCCAATAAAAGAAATTCTCCCCTCAAAGGAATGGTATTTACTTTAATCTGGATTTGATTTAGAGAAGCGTGCACTGTAAATCTTAGCTGGCAAATCCTTTGTTTCATAATGTGTTCAAGAGTAAATAGGATATGATTTTATATTGTATTTCACCTGTGCCTTTGTGAAGTGAAAAGGTGTAGATTGATCGATTGACAGGTTATTTTTAAAAGAGATAAAAAAACATGTGGAGAGCCTATTTTTCACTTGTTCAGATGATTGGCAAGTTTTGTGCAAAACGTAATCCTCCAAAAGCAATTAATCACATCAGCTCACCTGGGAGAAGGCTCTGAGAAAAAATTTGAACATGTGTTCTGGGCCTCAAGGTCAAACTTTGGGCAAGAGTAATTAGTTTTTTGGATGCAGAATATTTTCAAGTTTATTTTAAAGGTTGAGAAATCTCACAAATGATTGCAGGTTAGTCTTTGATAGGTCTTGCATCTATACATAATAATAGTAATAGGCCTAGGCCTATAGGCAATTATTACATTTATCATGTCTAATTTTGCTTCCATGTTTGCTTTCCTCTTGACAATCAGTCATTTAAGGTAATTAAGTACATTAACTTAAGTGTTGCACTTAAGTCATTTCTTGTGTTATCAAACATGTATTGTACTGTATCACACGTTAAGTTTGAGCTTACTCTCCTGTGAGTCGCCTATGCTCAAAAAGCTAACGGCTATTGCACCAGCTCCAACTAGAAAAGTAACTTAATATAACATAAATTATGTGTTAATATATCCGGAATAACAATGTTATAATATAGAATATATAATGGCACAATCGCTATAAATGATTAAGCTACTTTCATTTACTTTAGAAAAAGTTCCTTTTTTTAACGTTGTATACATTTGTGTGGTTAATTATTTAAATGCGTATGCTATATCATGAAGCCAATGACTAAAAAAGAGGCGACTTCTCTGTTATTGGACACAACATTTTCTACAGAAAAAAATTAATTAAACACGAAGACCGACACTCATCAACAACAATGGTTTCCTGAAAATAAATCGAGGTTCGTAGCCTATAATATTCTCGGCACATTTGTTTCATTTTTGTCATCACAAATATGGAGTGTATTTTGTCACGTTATCTGCATCAAGCTAACCTAAAATGCCGTTAATTAGGCGAAGTGCAATAGAGTCAATAGCTTTTTAGCCCACACGATGAATTTTTTTGTTTTGTTTTGCATGATAAAACTTGGCTGAAATTCTCGTCAGAAAACCCTAATGCTAATTAAAAGTGAGCCATTCCTGCAACCGAATATTTGCCATGACTTTGTCAAGGAAAACAGAAATGCTAGTGACTATAATGTCAGGGAACAGACGGGTCACTTTTTTCTTACTTTTTTGTAAATGTTCATGTTAGAGATATATGCTAAGCGCTTATCTGTGAACACTAACTCTTTGTTTATATTTGAACATTAGGATTTTTGCTTGGCTAAAGTGGATTTAAGATGGTTTATATCTGATTCAGATGTAACCACTTCCTGGTATTCCTGCAGTGATTCTGTATAGGTACATTGTAGGCTATGTTTTAACAGTAGCCTATATAGGCTTTAATAGCATATAAAGTGTTCCTCACATTTTATTCTCTAAAGCAAACAGCCTCTCATGGATTTGCTTTCAGGTAGGCTATGGAATGCAGAGCAAAGCAGGATTTCGAATTTATGAACCCACACACACACACACACACACACACACACACACACACACACACACACCGTGATTTACAAGTCCTGACGTCAAAAATGAGTCTTATGATAGTTTCCATGTTTTTGTTAGACATGAGGAATTAGCCCACAGTTGAACTATACACGACTGTTCATCACACACCTGGTCTCATTATTCTCTTCCATTGTTTTTTCTCCTCCTTCTCAGTAATGCATGTGTGTGTGTGTGTGTGTGTGCATGGATTTGTGTGTTTTGCAATGAGGATTAACCTAGTACTTCAGCTGATGCTGATTGGAATGACGTTCAACACTCACACAGCCTGGCTTTCAACAAGAAGGTTAGACTGGATGCTGT